TCTAGAGAACACAGACCTGTGTGTGATTGACAGTTCAGTGTGCATGGTACCTCTGCCAGCATAGATCAAATGAGGTCCTATAACAAGAGCGAATCAGTGTAAAAAGAATGAAATCATATAGGGTATGGGGGAGGGTACAGCTCAGTGGTAGAGCACGTGCTTAGCATGCACAAGGTCCTCCTCTAAAAATAGATATATAAACCACCTCCTCCCAGCAAAAAAAAAAAGAAATCATACAGAGTATGTTCTTGACCGCAATAAAATTAAATTACAAATTAATAATAATTAGACATCTATGAAAATATCAACTATATGCAGATTAAACAACACATGTCTAAATAGTCACTGGGTCAAAGAATAAGTCACAAGAAAAATTCATTAGTATTTTGAGCTAAATAATAATGAAAATCTAACATTAAAATTTGTGGGATGCATCTAAAGCTGTGCTTAGAGGGAAATTTATAACTTTTAATGCCTGTGAGAAGAAATATCTCAAATTAATGATGAAAACGTCTACCTTTAGAAACTAAAGGCTTGATGTAACCAATTTTGAATGTGTACAAATTTAGGGTATGTTATTCATGAAGGCCTTTCTAAATAAACTACTAGAAGGTAAACTCCACACAACCAAGAGACGATGGAGAAAACTTTGGTGAAAGGACTAGGGTAAACAACTAATACACGCAGTGAAAGTTCATATCTTAGAGGACACCAAAAATTCACAATGGAGAAAAGCCATATACATTAGTAAGTGTTTGAAAGCCTTCATTTGTAGCTCACACCTTACTCAACAGCAGGTAATTCATAGTGGAGAGAAACCTTATGGGTGCAATGAATGTGGGAAAGCCTTCAGTCTTAAATCACAGCTTAACACCAGAGAACTTCCAGTGGAAAGAAACCACTTAAGTGTGAAGAATGTGGGAAATTCTTTAGTCAAAAGGCACACTGAACTCAGCATCACAGAAGCCGTTCAGGAGAAAAACCTTAGAGCTATAATGAATGTAGAAAAACCTTCAGCTAGGAATCCCAACTTATTCTACACCAAAGAATACTGGAGAGAGAAGCCCTGTGAGTGCAGCAAATGTGGAAAAGCCTGGAAACTGAGGGATTTAAGGGCTCTGTGTCAGACACACCTAGAACTCAGGAAATTACAAGAGTTTTAGGAGCTTTGGGCCAGGACTCAGGGTCAAACATTAAATATTAGCAGGAACTGGGGGCAGAGACACATATATACGTGCATATAATTTCTCGTTAGGAAAACTGGATATCCACATGCAAAGGAATGAAACTGGACCCTTATGTCATACAACTTAAGACAGATGAAAGATTAGTGGGATTGCATTCAATCAAAAGCTTCTGCACAGCAAAGGAAATAATCAATAAAAAGGCAATGAATGGAATGGGGGAAATATTTGCAAATCATATACTTGATAAGAGATAAATATCCAAAATATATAAGGAATTCATACAGCTCAACAGCAAAATAAAACAACCAAAAAACTCCAATAACTCAATTTTAAAATGGGCAAAGGACCTGAATAGACATTTCTCCAAAGAAAACTTGCAAATGGGCAACAGGTATACATGAAATATCACTAATCATCTGGGAAATGCAAATCAAATCCACAAATCCCACACTCGTTACAGTGGCTATTATTAAAAACAAACAGACAGGGGGTGGGTATAGCTCAGTGGTAAAATAGATGTTTAGCGTGCAAAAGGTCCTGGGTTCAATCCCCAGTACCGCCACTAAAAACAGACAGACAAAACAGCTAACAAGTGTGGAGGAAAGGGAACCTTTGTGCACTGTTGGTGGGGATGTAATTTGGTGCAGCCACTGTGGAGAACAGTATGGAGATTTCTCAGAAACTAAAAATAGGACTACCACATGATTTAGCAATCCCACTTCTGGATGTTTTAGCCAAAGGAACTGAAAGCAGGATCTCGAAGAAATATCTGCACTGCTGATCCTTTCCCAGGCTGAGCTTTCTCCTTCTAGGCAGAGAGGTTCTGACGGACCCACAGTCCAGGCACAAGAGTCCCTGATGCTGAGATTCATTGTAGCACTGGTTACAGTAGCCAGGGCATGGAAACAATGTAAAAGTCTACCAACCAATGAGTAGACAAAAAAATGCCATTACAAATATTGTTTATGTACAAATATAAATGTATATTTTAAATACACACACATACACATATATGCAATGGAATGTTATTTGGTCATAAAAAAGAAGGAAATCCTGCCATTTGTGACAACATGGTTGCCCCTAGAAGACTGTAGGACACTGGACACAAGATAAATGAGTTCCAGACATCTGTCATACCATGTACATGCCTGTACATAACACCACTGTGCTGTGTATTTAGAGTTTGCTAAGAGGGTAGAACTTATAAATATTCTTCACACACACAAATAATAATAAAAGGCAGAAGGAAACTTTGGGAGTGACGGATTTATTTATTTAGGGTGGTGGTGATGGTTTTATGGCTGTATACTTATCCCCAAACTCATCAAGTTGTATATATCAAATATGTACAGCTTTTTACGTATCATATATCGATAAAGTGATGTAAGAATAATAGTAGTAATAAATGCTGAGCCACTGAATTTAAAAATAGGCAAAATATTTTAACAATCTCCTGACAAAGATTCATGAATGTCCAATAAGCACATGAAAAAATGCTCATCATTAGTCATCAGGGAAATGAAAACCAAAACCACAGTGAAATATCACTACACACTCACCAGGAGATAAATTTAAAAAGCCTGAGAGCTCCAAATGTTGGCCGGGAATGTGGAGCACCTGAAACTCTTTCGAATCTTTTGATGAGAATATAAAATGGTACAACTACTCTGAAAAAGAGTCATGCACTTTCTCAAAAAACTAAACATGCACCTGTCATGACAAGAAAGTTCATTCCTAACCATTTAACTAAGAGAAATTAAAACATGCACAGAAAATATTTGTACCTGAAAGTTCATAGCAGTTCTGTTTACATTAGTGAAAATATCTCAGGTGTCCACGAAAGAGCCATGTGACAGACTGTAGTGCATCTGACCTGCTCTACTGTAAAGTGGAATGAATTTTTTCTAGCAGGCAGCAGCACAGATGGGTCACAGAAACATGGTGAGTGAAAGAAGCTTTACCTGAAAGACTGTATACCATATGTCATTGTTTATGTGAAATTCCGTAAAAGCCAAAACTAACCTGTAGTGGAAACAATCTCTGAAGGGTTCTGGGAAGGAGTGGGGGGTTGACTGAACCCAGAGCAGTGAGAGCACCAGGGACTCAGATAGGGGAGCTGATCCTTTCCCAGGTTGAGCTTTCTTCTTCTAGGCAGAGAGGTTCTGATGGACACACAGTCCAGGCACAAGAGTCCCTGATGCTGAGATCCTCTGAACCACCACCTTCTCAAACAGGGGACACTGGAACAGATGCCTGAAGAAGGACCAGCCACCTTGGCCTGTGTGCTCACCAGGCCTTCTCTGTACCCGCACCTGCTGGTGCTTTGCCCTCCTCCTTGCCTTAGCTGGACATTTCATATAAACTGAATCACACAGCACATTCCATGTAAACGAATCACACAGAACGTGGTCTTTTGCATCTGTCTTCTTTCACTCAGCACAGCGTCCTGGAAGTTCATCCATGTTCTAGCCAGTAGTTCATCCCTTGTTACTGCTGACTGTTATTCCACTAAATGGATACAGCCCAACACACTTATGGATTCACCAGCTGATGTATATTTGGGTTTTTCCATTTTTGGTTATTATGAATAATGTTGCTAAGAACAACTTTGTGCAAGATTTTGTGTGAACATATTTACATTGTTCTTGTGCATATAAGCAGATATAGAATTGCTTGGTCATATAAATATTTTTAACTTAAAAAATTTTTTATTGTATAGCTGAATTACAATGTTGTGTTTCTGCCACACAGCAAAGTGATTCAGTTACACATATATTCTTTTTCATATTCTTTTCCTTTATGATCTGTTGCAAGATACTGAATATAGTTCCCTGTGCTATACAGTAGGACCTTGTTTAAATACTTCTAACTTTTTCAGGTAATGCACAACTCTTCTCTAGGGTACGATACCACTTTCCATTCCCACCAACAGTGTAGAAGGGTTTCATTTTGTTCCCATCCTCTCCAACACTTAATTTGTCTGTGTTTGGGCTGCTATAACAAAATACCATAGTTTGGGTGGCTTATACACAACAGACATTTATTTCTCACAGTTCTGAAAGCTGAAAGTCTGAGCTCAGGGTGCCAGGTGGTGGGGTTCTGGGAAAGGACCTCTTCCAGGTTGCAGTCAGTTGACTTCTGGTGTGTCCTCACAGAGTGCAGAGATAGTCAGCTCTGTGGCCACTTCTTAAGCGGCACCGATCCCATTCATGAGGGCTCCTCCTCCCCACCTACCTTCCAGAGGCCCCGTCTCCAAATACCATCACACTGAGATTAGGGTCTCAACATATTAACAGGGCGGAGGGGCGGACACAAACATCCAGCCCATCGCGTCGTCTTTTTCATTTAGCACCATTCCAGTGGTGTGCGCCGGCAGCTCTGTGTGGCTCCCCTTTGCGTTTCCTTAATGACCAGCAAAGCCATTTGATATCTTCCTCCCCTTGCTCATACGGTTCACTGGGTTGCCTGCTTCTTTTCACTCAATTCTTAAAATACCGCCTTGCTGAGATAAAGGCACATCCCAGACACTTCACCCACTCAAAGCGCCCAACGGAGACGCCAACAGCGCTCACAGCTGAGCAGGCATCCCGCCCCGCCCCCATCCTCGGCCCTGGCCCCGCCCAGGCCCCGCCCCCTCTCGGCCCGCCCCAGCCCCTCTTCGGCCCGGCCCC